GCCCCAGGCGGCAGCTCGAGGGACACCCCAGCGCACCCCGAAGGACCTGCGCTGCCTGGGCCGTCACCATGAGCGCAAAGCAGAGCTGCCCCCTGCCCCCGGCGCGAGGAGAGCGGGAGGGAAAGCGGCCTGAGGGGACTCCTCCCGCCCCGGAGCGACGGGAGTGCGAGGCGGAGCTGAGGAACAAAGCCATCCTGCAGCAGAAGAGGCGCCTGAAACAGGCCACCCAGTTTGTGCATAAGGACTCTGCCGACCTGCTACCCCTGGATGGCTTGACAAGGCTTGGCACCTCCAAGGATCTGGTGAGTCCAGTGGGACCCCGTTTAAGGGGGGGTGTCCTCCTAATAGCCTTCATCCCAGCTGGGAACTGCTGTCAGGCATTGTGAGGTGCTCATGGCTTCAGCAAAGTGAACCTTCACTTCAGCGTCATCTAGGAGCAGGTCAGGGTGAGGGGAAAAAATGCTTCACCCACCCAGCGTTTTGCATCCATCTTCCCGTGTGCCCCCAAACTCCTTGAAGAGGCAGGCAGACACCAGCTGGAAGGACTCTCTGGGATCCAACTTTCCACTCACCGGGTGCATACATGTGTTAAATCTGACATGTACGTTTCCACATGGAACCTCTCTGAAGGGCCCTGTGTAGTCCTGCATGATCCCGCTCAAAAGCAGACTCCCTGTTGGACTCAAGAGGGAGGGAAGCACAGTTCATGAAACTCTGCGGGGCTTACGTTTGACCTTGTCACCTTTTTGCTTTATCCTCTCTCCCCCCGCTCTTTGGATGTGCAGAGGGGCAGGCAGGGTGCAGGACCGTGTGCTGCAGTGGCCGGCGCCCGTGGGGGACACCTGTGGGGAGGAGGCACAGGAGTGCGGCCTGTGAGCATCCCCTGGTGCAGACATGGGGCAGGAGGCATCGGGGAGGGATCTGTTCCAGCAGTCTGTGGTCTGGAGGGGCTTCCTCGAGGCCGGGAGCAGTTTCCCATGGGATCTCTTGCTGCCTTGACTGCACGCGTGTCCCCCTTGCTCTCACAGCTTTGCTGTCTAACTTCTCCTCTCTGCTGAGGAGTTTAACTGCTCAAGGATGCAGAGGTGTAAACAGTTTTCACAAGAGAGGGCCTGGGTCTGGCCAGTGGCAGGGGGCACAACCAACTGTGCCCCAGATCTTGCCCCTTGCTGCAGCCCGTGCTTCCTTCTGCATCCTCAGACCTTCTCAGCAGCACCATGGGTGCTCATATGGGTGTATCGCTTCCAGTCGTTTCCTGGCTCCCATGGCAGGCCCCACAGCTGCTGGCAGCCAGGCGCTGCTGCACACAGGGGCACACGTGTGCGGGACGGGCAGGGTCCCAGGCGCGAGGCCGGAATGGAGGTTAGCCTCCGTGCTGAAACCTTCGGGTGCAGTGGCTCTGTCGTGTGCAGACAAGGGGTCAGTGCCACATTCCAGTGCTGCTGTGCCTTCCTGCTCCCACCGTCCCGCCCTGCAGCCGCCTCGGCTGCTGCTGAGAG